GGACTCAAATGAATCTAGAAAAGTCATCAATAATAACGAAAACATAATGTTTACCATTTAAGCTTGCGATACGAGATGATCCAAAAATATTCATGTGGAGAAGTCAAAAATATTTTGTAATTGAAGAATGTTGCTTTAATTTGAAAGAACTCTTTACTTGTTTTTCATGCATCACAAATTTTATTTTTTTCAAATTTCAAGCTTGACAAACCTTTAACAAAATATCTTTGGAAATTTTGAAAGTTGGTTCATGCTAACATAACCTAATCTTCTATCTCATAATCAAGTATCATATTTTAAATTCGATAAATGTTTTTCTTCGCATTCAAACTTAGTTTTAATGACATTAACATTCTTACTTCGGCTTCCTATAAACATCACTTATTTTGATGTAGTTTCCTCAAAAATGCACTTGGAAAAATCAAATTTGATATGATAACATTCATCACACAATTGATTAAACCTATGTATATTACGTCTAAAGTTATCTACTAAAGAGACATTTTCAATAAAGGGAGATGAATGATTACCAATAATTTCAATGTGAATGATTTTTCCTTTCGCATTATCTCCAAAAGTATCATGATCACCATCCTTTATTTTGAAACTAGACAATAAAACTTGATTTCCGGTCACGTGTTTTGAGCATCCATTATCCAAGGTCTATTTGCTCTCTATTTTCATTGGTGCCTCATCATCAATAGCCATGAGCACATGTTGGCAATTTGTTCTTGACTTCCATCTTTTTCATGATCATGATCATCACTCGCATCCCACGTTGATTGAAGAGCTTTCTTTTTGATGAATTTATTCTTCTTTTCGCCCTTTTCTTCTTTCTTTTAGAATCAATAATTTTTGCCAAAACCTTTCTATTTCTTAACAAGAAGAACTAGATCATCAAGTCCTTCATCATTCATATTTTTGCTTGAATTGCCTTCATCAACTACGGATTTAAAAGCAATTTGGCGCATTTCTTCTTCTTTAATTTTCATTGTTTTCTCCTTTGTCACGGTGTGATTTAGCTCATATGTTATTAATGTTCCATAGAGCTCTTCCAATGGATACGTATTGATATATTTGGTGTTTTCTATCAACATTTTC